AACGGACCTCCAAATCATCTCCAGCACTCAGCTTCCGAAGCACCACTACTCCGCCTCCGTTTCCCTCGTAAGCTGATATTAGTATTTAAACATTCGCTATAATATTATTTTTTTAATGACACACTGTCTTTTTCTCTCTTTCTCTCTCTCACACACACACACACACACACACTAGGGGTTGAACGACTTCAGATTGTATGACATCAAAGTCGAGTCGACGTCGACTAGTCGCTGACATCATTCATAAAAACACAAGAGATGTGACTGCTTTGCAACATGCCACAATTTAAAATTAAAAATTTTTAAATCTGTCTCGAATACGATTTAAATCCGTCTCGAATGCGTTTCGGAGGGCTTTTAGCGTGCTCCTGGTCTTTTCACGATCGGATAACAATCAGATCACAAACACATGAAGTGGCCAGATGTAGCTAAACAGCCCGCTGTTTACATCATCATTTAGGATGAAAAGAAAAAAATACTGCGGGTGAATTAGAGATGCATTTATATGTTTAAATAAATATATGAAAAAAATAATGTTTGATAATTTTAAAAGAGAAACTCTCATTTCCTGGTTAAATAGTGAGCGTGCGTCATGCTTTTACTTTCGTTTTTAACGATATAGTGCTAAGTTAGTAAAGTATTTCCATACACTTTATGTAGCCTACCAATGCTGCTTTCTTGCTGCAATAATTCTCTGGGCTCTTCATCTGTTGTCGTCTGCAACGCGGCCATTTACTATTAAAATTAGCACAATCATATAGTGTCACATGATCAACGCAACTAGTAGACGTCAAGCTTAAAGCGTCACAGCATTGTATTAAGGTCGACTAGTCGACTAATCGACTAGTCGGTTCAACTCCTAACACACACATACTGTCTCTTTCTCTCTCACACATATGTAGGCTAGTTAGAAACTCTTTAGACTTTTAATGATTAATTATTAAGTTTAATGATTAAAGTGTGTGGGTCGTGAAAAAAAAAATCCGTTATTTTGGGGATGAATTCTGGGAAATCTCCCTTATTTTCAATGTTCAATGTTGACAGCTATGGACAGGATACTGTAAAATTTTAATATATCAACTTGCTCCGCTGACTACGTCACCTTCTTCGTTGCTCTGATTGGTTGTAGCGCTATCCAATTGCGTTCAGAGATAATTTGAAAGACAACCGTTTATCCCGCCCCTCGGATTGAGCCCTGTCAATGATGAGTTCCCAGACCAAACATCTTGATGTAGGTCTGGCATGCCAGGCTAAAATACTCATGTATCTTGAATAACCATTTGACTAAAAGGACATTAGCAAAATGTCCAAGCTGCTATTTTTCAAAAGCTGTATATTTGGATGATAATTGTTTCTTATGGTAGATGCAAGGTACAAGGAATTTTGAACATTTACAGGGGCTAGTTGGGGATTTTATTGCAGTATAAATCCAGAATGGATTTCTCTCCCAAGTTACTGTTTTTTTTTTTTTTTTTTTTTTTTACTTTGCTCAAATAACTCATTCAAAGCAAGTCGAGTTACTTACATTTTGCTTTGTTCCTCACACAAAGTGATTGTATGTCATACAAAATAGTGCATTAAAGACTACTTTAATATTTTATGCCTTTTTAGAGCTTGACATCCACAGTCTCCCCATTCATTTATTTTTACTGTATGGAAGAAAACAGCTTGAGCATTCTTCAAAACATCCAATTGTCTGCTCCAAACATGAAAAAAGTAATATAAGTTTGAAATAAAATGAGTGTAAAAAAATGAGAGCCATCCACCAATCACGAGTCACCATTTAAAGTACCGTATGAGCAGCTTCTCTCTCATAATTCATAATCCTCTTGATTCCTTTGTGTTAACCATTCGAGACTAATTTCTTGTGATTAGTTGCAGAAATCCCACTGTGCGTCACCGTTGTTTTAGTAATAAGCAGCTTAAAAACATTTACACACACATTTAACTCTATGCACAATAGAGGTGAACACACACATCATCTGGATGGGTTGATGAAAAGGCCCGTTAGGTTGGCGAATATGCAAACGGGCTAGGCTGATGAAAGATGATAGGCCAGCTGAGCATTAACTAATGCAGAACAAATGTCCTCTTGGCTTCTTTGTCAAAGGGTTGCATCACACACTAGCCATGCGCTTGAATCGCCAAGCACTTCTGCAGTCAGAATTTAGGCTGGTCGGATGCGGCGGTATGTAAGCGTATCAGCTCCGGATCAGTGTCATAGAGTCCCGCACCTCTCGGCTCTGTGATCATGCTTTCTCAAGCTTTGAGCTTAAGCCACCGGATCCTATTCTTTCTTTTCACACACAATAAAACGATCTATTTCCCCTCTTTGGTCCAGAGCCACCCATTCATAGACCGATTCAGAGGGCCTGAACGGCATGTACCACGTCGGTTTGTGTTTGGGGAGTTCGCTTAGTAACTATGAGCATAATAGATACCAAAGAAACATTGATATACACTTACGCATACACATCTGTCAGCAGAATGCTTTGTGCATTTGCCTCGATATATCAGTTTTCACTGAAGACTTTGTAGAGGAGGCCAGACAACAGACTTAGGGTTGGGCGATACGGGCAAAAAAAAAACAAAAAAAAAACATTTTAGACTGAATGGCGATTTCAGATGACTGATATCTCTGTATCTTCAAAAAGTGGGCTTAATGTTCAGTTTTCATTTTAGGCATGCAATGGGAAATTAAGCTTGTAAAGTGTTTTGTTTAAAGGCAAAACATTTTTTGGGCTGAGTGAGAAGCTTTGTTGCTGAAAAAAAGTTAACACGTTTGGTATTGCTGTTTACAGTGCAATTGTAAATTAGATTTAAAGTACTTTTCAAAGCAACCTGGATCAGTGGCTTTTTTGGACAGTGTTTCTGCTATGACTTTGACCGTATTGACAACAACAAAACACAGACTAAATTTGGGTACTGACCAATTCCCTAATTTATTTGCTACGATCAATCACATTAGGATTTACACATGGGTTGTAACTGAATCTGATTCATTTTGAAGATATTTGCACCCTTGAAATGGAGCTATAATCTATGGCCGCTTCATTTAGATTGAGCTGTTTATGTGGTTAAAACACCCTGTTTCCAAAAGATTGTTGGAGTTTAAGGCTTCTTTATATTTCCATCAGGATATACTCAGAATTACACACAAATTATGATCATCATTATGATGATCTCAAGCATCATAGGCGTAATTTGCAGGTGGGACGGGCGGGACATGTCCCCTCCACTTTTTGCTTGGGTGGATATCGTCAGCTACTTATTTATGCTTTTCTGTTTTAACGTGAAATGCATGACACTTCCATAACGCGTTGTTTGTCTGTGCGCTAGAAGTGCTTCAAAATCCACAGATGCGTGAGGGGATTTACAAATTTACACAGAAAGCGGTTCACAAATAAATGCCAGGCGGAGTTGTGTTTGTGATATAAAACACATTTGTAAATGTTTTTATTTATTTTGCACATCTCATTTTTCATTTGTGAGTTTTATATTTTTTTTGGAGAAACTCTGCATTTATTTGTGGATCTTAATCTATTTATTTGTGAATTTGATAAATCTTTGTAAATCTCTTTACATTTGTTTGCGAATCTCAATCTATTTATTTGGAATAATGCAAGACATCTAACCCCTTACTTTAACGACTGATTCTTTTTTAAATTCAACTGACCAGTTACTGTAAATGGTCTAGCTCATCACAATCTCGTGGACTGTGGATCATTTTCTCTCCTAATCCAGATTATCAAGGCAGTTGAGGCCCTGTGATTTACACAGGTTTTGAGACTCATTGTTGCTGCCAAAGAAGTGAAAGAGCAGCAGCCTAGCGTTGCACGTGACCTCCTGGGTTTGGGGCTTTAGGCTTACCTAATTTGAGTTGCTTCTTGGAAAGTGTGCTTGTTTTTTCTCCACTAAGCCGGTTATACTTATGAGAGCTCATGGGAAGCATGTCACATGGGACAGACAACTAAAAGAAGAAGAGGGATGCACACATACCTGATTTTTTTATTTTCTCAAAATAATATGATAACATTTGTGAGCAAACCAAAGGTTTCTTAGGGGAATGCAGGGGAATGTTAGTATATATATATATATTTTTTTTATTGAAGTCAAGTATAATTTGTCCATTCTTGTTCACAGATCTCGTTAAAGGAGTTCACTTAAAAAAAAAAAAAAAAATGATAATTTACTCACTCCCATGTCATCCAAGAATTCCTTTTCAGTCAAGAAGAAATTAAGGTTTTTGATAAAAACATTCCAGGATTTTTCTCCATATAATGGACTTTACTGGTAACCAAACAGTTCAAGGTCCAAAACACAGTTTCGGTGCAAACTGTTCAAAGGGCTTTAAACGATTCCAGATGATGAATAACGGTCTTATCAAGCGAAACGATGGCCCATTAAAAAAAAAATTGTTTTATAAGCTCAAATGCTCGCCTTGCTCTGTTCTGTGATCGTGACTCTCCTGTTCGAACTCGTTCATCAAAATTAACGAATCTTTTTTTGTGTCATTTGGTTCATTCAACGAATGAAATGAACGAATTGACTCGGGAAAAGATTCGTTCATTTTGATGAACGAGTTCGAACAGGAGAGTCACGAATCACAGAACACAGCAAGGCGAACATTTGAGCTTATAAAACTTAAACTTTGTCATTTATTTTCTTTAACGAGCGATCATTTCGCTTGATAAGACCCTCATTCATCGTCTGGAATCGTTTAAAGCCCTTTGAACAGTTTGCAGTTTGTGCTGAAAGTGTAACCGTTTGGTTCCCATTGAAGTCCATTATATGGAGAAAAATCCTGGAATGTTTTCATCAAAAACCTTAATTTCTTTTCGACTGAAGAAAGAAAGACATGGACATGTTGGATGACATGGGGGTGAGTAAATTATCAGCAACATTTTTTTTTTAAAGTGAACTACCCATTTAAGTTTGTTATTACAGTGTTCTGGATTGATTAGTACACATGCTAACTCTGATTATGTCTTTTTTCGCAGACCTCATTATATATTGCTGCATTATCACTGGGCATCTGGGCTGGAGAGTGAGGCGGGCTTGGTTTGCGAGCTTCGCTCCAAAGCCGTCCGATGACTGTCTGACTCATCACAACCCGCGAATGACAGGCGAGCATTCGAGGGTGGGGCCCGCCTCAGTCTCACATGATTGGCCGCTGGATGGAAATAAGGTGAATGGAACACATGCCCAAGGAGCAAGACCCAAACCAATCAGAGGGAGAAGAGAAACGGTGAGGCTCTTAAGAACTGATCTTATAACAGTTTGCAGAGTCATTAATCATGCTATGATGTTAGTCATAATGCCAGGTTCGAACCACCCCTTTCAATCGGATCAAAATATCAATGGGATTGATTAAGGTTTTTACAGGAAGGCTTTTCAGTCCGATTGAGGCATCAATCTGATTACTTACAGATTATTTGGTTGCATGTAAAATGTCGAAAGTTGCATCAAGAAGGCAGAACTAGCGACTGACTTTGTGAAGTGTTGTAGACGTGGCGTTGTTTGTCTTCCACTATGACACCCTATATGAGATAAAACGATTGATTAATTGCTTCCCGACGCGTTTAAGATTCAAACAACACCTTGTGTTGAAACAAACAGATTTGTACCAAAATTCGCACACTGACTGAACCCGGCATACAAGTCTGTATGTCTGGGCAGTAAAGTGATCCATGGTCCTTGGTTCTCTTGTGTGTGGTTATCGAATTTTGTTTCATGTATTGACGCTTCGGGGAACTCAAATTTTCTGGTCAATGCACTAGGGCTGAACGATTAATTGCATTTGCAATAATATCGCGATATGATGAAACATGATTTTGTAACCGCAAAATCTGCAATTACAATGGTCACGTGACTGCGAGAGAAAAGCAGTCTGCAAGATCAAGCATCAACTTGGGCGAGCTTAGTTTTTAAACACAGATGCGTGATGACGCTGCGTGTGCTTTAAACAACTGTATTCTACTTGCTTCTAATTTCTCTCTCTCACACACACACACACAACACCGCTCGAACCTTCCGAAACATAATATTTCATAAAGTTCGGGGTTTAACCAAATTACAAGGACATTCACAGGTTTTGCAGTGGCCGCCGGAATTTTCCTTACAAATGCTCCACGAAGGCATTATTTATGTCTTTTGTAATTTATTGGCTTATATATTAAAAATATGACAATTACTGAGAGGGTTGCTTTCATTTTAAAATACTTACTCGCATTTGACGTGAAATGAATGTAAACATGGTCAAAATCAACAGGACAAACCACATTTACAATTTGAAAAGAGATATGTGTATTAGTGTGATTGCAGCTTCTTATATCTAAGGGGGGGAAATTAACTCCATCCCTTGAATGAAAAACATTCAGACAGCCTACTTTTAAATACTGAGAGCACTCTTTGTTTAATACTTGTAATGCTTTTTGTTCCTCTTTATTAACTAGTTTTATATTTTTAAGCTATATTAGTTTATATAGCCTAATTAAAATTCTTAACATGTAATTGGTTTAATTAAATTATATATATATATATATATATATGTATGTATTTTTAGACATCTAATTAAATACATATTTAATGTGTTATTTAGATTCATTAAAAAGAAAAAAAATAGATTGGATCATGAGCTGCCTAAAGATTCCCATCCCTACCATAAAATGATTTATCGCTTGTCTTTGTCGACTAGTACAGCAGGAACAGACCTTAAAAAGTAATCTCATATTAAATCGCAATATTGGAAAAAAAAAAAAAAAAAAAACATATTCGATTATTTTCCATAATCGTTCAGTCCTTCAATGCACACACTCTCCTGCATAATTCAGTTTTCCTGGTAACTGGCTCCATTTGTGTTGTGTACATCTCATAGTGATGTGTGCTTTTGAGTCTAAAGGCAGGCGCTAAGAGGCCTTTACCTCAACATCCACTCAGTCTGCACACACATTTTATATAAGGCCTGGAGCTGGCAGGAAAGTTAACTAAAGCCTTAGAGAATGCCTGTTACTGTCCAAAGTCAGCACACACTCAAACCTTACACACACACACACACACACACACACACACACACACACACACACACGCTGCCGTGTAGGCTTTTAGTTCAGCCGGACGGCACAGACTGCCCCCTCACGTTCTAAAAAAGGTTTAGCTTTAGAGTCAACAGCAATGTTTCTGCCAGTTAGCAAAACACATCAAGTCTTCCTTCTCAGTGTATATGTGTGGATGTCTAATGTGTAATGTGTCCTTGGGCGATTTCTATATTCAGCAGATCTCTTGTTGCTTTTCCAGTTCGCTGACCACAGATACCTAATTATTTGTTGAGGTGAAGTGTGTTGTTACTGTCACAATGGTCACCTAATTGGCTAATTAAAGAGGTTGATGATTAGTGAGGTTGAGTAATCTGTGTAGCTTCAGCTTTTTCTATTATAGTACCACCAAACTAATATGAATTAGACGTAAATTTAAATCTTTAAATTAAAAAAAAACTTAAATGCAATTCAGAAATGTTGCATTCAAATTCCAAAACTTACTAAAACTAAAACTGAAAAAATAAAGCTAGAACGAAACACAAAAACAAACAAATGAAAATGACAGAAACAACTGCAAATGAAAATTGAAAATATAAAATAAAGGCTAATTATTAAATGCTACAATTGTATAATACCCAAATAACACTGATATTTTTACTCATTGTATTTGTATTGTTTTTTAATAGTTCGAAATAAAGATTTTTCAGTTCATATATATCATATATATAGACTATATAGTCATTTCTGATGAAAATTCAGCTTTGCGTCACTGAAATAAAATATTTTAAAGTATATTTAATAGAAAGCCATTATTTATTATTGTTATAATATTTCACAATATTACAGTTTTTTCTATAATTTTGATCAAATAAATGCAGGCTTGATTAGCTTTGGATGCTTCTTTCAAAAACATGAAGAAAAAAAAAATAGGAACTGTACAATTTTTGTGTAAGTAAAAGCTAAATTGATCATTGAAGTTTACTTTTTATCCGGTTACATCCAGCTTAATGAATTATCCTCTAACTAGTCTATAGATGTTATTCAAGATTAATCGTCATTAAATCACTGAGGCTTGCGAGCAGTGAAAACGTTCCAGCCTCCTCAAGCGTTTTCAACGCAAGCATTAGTCCTCGCATTTAATTACTCGGTAGCATCCTCAGGAACACAGGACATAGCTGCAGACTTGTGTGTGTGTGTGTGTGTGTGCGCACACATATAATATGCAGGTCCCCAGGAGTGTGGGGTCAGATTCCCAGCATGTTCACTCAATAAGCGATTAAACGAGGGCCCTTCAGCTTAATTACACCGAGGCCACCTGTAAGTAGATTAGCTGATGGTGGAGCACAGCATTCTGGGTTAAATCAAAGAGCAGGAGCAGCAATCACTTGGCTCAATAGAGCTGATTTCTTCTTCTCCAACTTTCATTACTTGCCATCTCTGCTAACAGCCTCGCAATCACCTTCCCAAACCTCATGTCTGTAGTAGTTCAGCTGTTTCTTTTCTTGTATACTCATTTCGGTGTCATTTCTGCACCGTTGGTTGAGCCAATGTCAATGGCATAACTTGATATCATGTAAACTCAGCTTAAGTATGTTCCAAACAGAATCAGTTGTTTAGGTTATTTTTGATTTGTTTGTTGGCACTATTGCAGCCAAGTTTCATTCCGAACTATCTTCATCCATGTTGTTTAGTTTGTGTTAAATGAAGTGTATCAGGGCATTCCACAGACGTCTAGGCTGATTTTTAAATTTAAGATGTATGGAGGAGAACCAGGCATGTTCTCGTTGCTCTTTTTCTCCACATGCCTGTTTTAGTCAGTCTCCAACAGTGGTCGTATATTGTTTTAATCTATTCTGGCTGACATCATGTTCTTCTTCATCGTTTACTTTTAAAAGCTCCTAGATTTGCATAAACTCAATTGACGGGATTTTCCTGCTGTTTGCCGTTCAAAAAGATGTAATCCACCTTAATCAGACAGACAGGGTGCCTCCAGTGTGCAGAGCGTTCAAGCCTTTACGCAGATGTAAAATAATGGGTTTGCTTTTTCAAATTTGTATTTTATATTCATATTATATTTTATTTAGGATCAATTTAGTTTTTTATTTCAAGAGCATATTTTTGAAAATGTTATTTTAGTCTTAGCTTTTTTACAGTTTCCAGTGAAATTAAATATTTAATTTTACATAAACATATATATTTCACATATTTTAATTAAAGATAAATATTTTTGGTAACACTTTATAATAACTGCACGCTAATAATTCTTAGTTAAGCAGAGTGGCCACGGGTGGGTTGGCACATGTTAATGTCAAGCCCTGGTTGTTAATGTTGTTTATATGTCTATGTGGTGTTTTTAGCATGCTTTAAGACAAACCATGAGCAAATTTATAAGTCAGCACCATTACTGAGTACTTACTTGAACCAAAGACAGTCTCAAAAATAATGTTTGAAATCACTGGTGTTTCTGACGTCGCAAACTACAGCACCTTGTAACCAATCACGTCAACACACAGACAGGTTGTAGCATATCATTAACTATTCTCTGAAGCAGGGGAGTCTCAAGATAAGGTGTGTTATCCCGGTATCTGTTGATATGAAAAATCATGCCCATAGTAATATAGCGGGTGAATGATGTAAATGTAAATTCCGATGTTATGTTGAGCTATATGCTTTTGTTCACTGACGTTCTATGATGTTTGTAAGGATGCTGATAGATTGTTAGAAGGCAGCTGTCTGACTCTGAGATGGTGATCGTGTACATGGTTTGTGTAACATTAGCAACACATTATTAGCTGTTTGTTAACGTAGTCAAGCAAAAGGCCAATCATATGAATTATGCGTCCAACGTAATCAATTCTGATACATCGACTTGTATATGCGTCTGCATAATTCACTCTTCCTCTTCTTCTGAATCAGTTTCTGGTTCAAACATATATGGCTGAATTAAACCAGTATTTCCACTACTGTATTTACTACAGTAAAGTTGACCGAGTGGATCTCTGAGCTGGTGTGAGTGAGTTGAGGTGGGGCTAATTTGCATATTCTAAATGAAGGGTGTAGACTTACATCAAGCTATTTTAAGGCATGAAGAATTTATTTTTTTTCATAGGGAAAAACATTTAAATATGCAATTTTGGTGATCAATGGTGAGTTTTAAGGGATACAATTATTGACAGCCATTGTTGTTATTTTAATTCAATCAGTCCCCCCC